AAATTTTGGTCAATGACATGAGACAAAGTATATGTGAACTGCTGTATGAAAAGTGAATTTACACTGTAAATCTTCACCCAAATCAAAATAAAATTAAAAAAAAAAAAGAAAAAAAGAAAAAGTGTTTGGGTTGGGCTTTTCATCCTACTTACTCTTGCATTTCTGAGAAGACTCAAAGAAACCTCAGTGCTTCATAGTGTAGAGTGTGAAAACAAATACTTCAGAGAACTCCCTTCAGTTTGAGGGCCAAAAGGGTCAGGACAGCTGTTCTAGGCCACCGAGTTAGGAAATGGCTGAGCGAGGGCCAGAGGCCAATTTGAATCCTGAACGATGCAGTTTTCAGGTAAACTGCTGACATCAGAGCAAGCTCTCCAGTTCTCTGTAATCTGGTTCTCTTCCCTTACCCCTGGTCAGCACAGGATTTCAATACAAACATTATCACCTTCTTTCCTGGGAGAGTGGAGGCTTGGTCTTCCTCATTGAAAGAGTAGGACATGCTCAGAGTTTAAATAAAAGTATTTAAAGCAACGTTTGTTATTTTTTATTATGGTGGTAATCTTCCAAATGGATAACAATAGCGAAAAATAATACTCCACAAACTGTCATAATCTATCTGCCAACAGAGTTGAATAGAGGTGGAAAAGACTGAACATAATAGGTGTTTGGTGATATTCCCTGAACATCAAATGAGTACCTGCTGCACCTCCCAAAGATTTCAAAAGTACCTGCATTTCACTTAAGTCAAGGGCTTATTTGTTTTCAAATGAAGTCATCAAATTAATTTTAAAACACACAAAATAAATAACTGTTTTAAAGTATATAATGTATATTAAAAAATATATCTATTTAGATTGTGAAAATATTTAATAATGTCAAAAACAACTAAAGGAAAAGAAGGCAGCTATGCCCTTGTAGTTAAAACAATGACAACAACAATGAACTATCAAATCCATTAGGTATTCCTGAATATTTTCCTGGGATATTGACTACAATCTTATATAAGCAAAGTCTCATGGTTTAAATGTTTCTTTGATGAATAAATTCTGGAATTTAAGGATTTTTCAATCTCTTTATCAGAAATATGTACCTTCAAATATAGCTGAATGCAAGCAATAATTAAATGAATTCAATGTGCATCTGTTATTCATGGGATCAACCACAAAGAAAGTTAACCTTGAAAATATATTGCTTTCTCTTTTTCTCATTAATGGATTTGGTTTAGATTTTATACCAAATGATTACTCAGCGAAGCTTTTGTTAAAAGTACACCTCAAGGCCACACAGGCTACTGTTTACGGTTCTGCCCAAAGGAAATAATGGAAAGAAATCAAGGTCAACCTCTCCCCGCCAAA